AGAGAGAGAGAGAGAGAGTCGGCCCAATACATGGGCGAAATGGGCTAAGGCCCAGCGCATCAGATATGAGGGGGCATCATTTAGTCCGGTTAGTAATACACTTGTATCGGCAGACAAAAAATACCCCTAAGTACCGATTTGATTTCTCTCTGCACAACGACGCACGCGTAAGGTGGGCGCGAAACTGGAGATGTAATTGGCATTTGTGATTGGTTGATTGCCGATCGACGCATAGAAAAATGAACTCGTAGAAGATCGAGGAGTCGATTGCTTTAAATCGATTGGTTCTAAATCTAATTTCTACTTTCCGCTTTCTCTTATTCTCGTATTTCTGATTCTTAATTTGGCGTTTTGTATGAGTTGGAGTCCGTCCGTTCAAAACCTTCAGTTAACGAGGTAATTATTTGTTCTTTTCTCCTATTTCCGATTCCCGATTTGTTCAAAATATATTTGTTTTCTTCGAAATATACCTATTTGATTTCATAATTATGTGTTTTGATTACAGTCTGCACCACCTCCATCATCGTCGCTACCACCACAACCACAACTACCACCGCCACCACCACCACCTCCGTCACAACCTCCGCCACCATCTCCACCACCACCACTACCTCCGTTGTCACCACCATCTTTGCAACCTTTTATGGGTTTGGGTTTTGAACAAACCTTCACATGTATGATCTTTTATGGGTTTGGGTTTTGAACAAACCTTAACATGTATGATTTTTTCCCTTACACTAACCATTTACACGATGTTTGTTGTATACCCTCTTTTATATTGTTTTTCGTTATGTAATTTCTCCGCTCATTGTATCAACTTTTGGCCCCGTAACTCTTTTTGTTTTATTCTCCATGGGCTGCAACCTTGATTTAAGTTTTAGTAATCAATGAGTTATCTTTTTTACTTATTTATACGTTTACATCATGTAATTGATGTTTGTACTTATGTCTACGTTTTTTACGAGTGTATTATATAAGTCATAAACCTCTCATATTCATAGTTGTGATGTATGAGATATGTTTGTCACTACTTGGACTTGTTTGACCAATTTTCTAGCTAGTGAATCTATTTTTGTTGATGATACTCATCCATTGATGAATTTGTCTAATTCTCATATTTTATGTACTTATGCATCGACTTAGATTATTTTTACCTCTAAGTTGATTGGTTAGTTGGTTATGTTATGTTAGGAGCATTAACTATTTAACTTTGTCCCAAGTTTGTTGGGAGTTTCAATACACACTTCGTTTTTCCAAGATGTGTATACATGGTTGTGTTCTTTTTTCAATTATGATCACGAGTATTTATTCTAAAAAAAAAAAACTAAACTAACAAATGTCATCATGGTGTCTTAGTCTACGAGTAATGGAGCGACCCATACGAAGCCTTCGACCCGTAAGTGATGCCAATAACACATCTACACTATTCTCAACTGCTTCCGCTTGTTTATTCAACTCTAATGACTCAAATTCCGAAACAAGATGTAACTCATCTAGCAGCCCAATCGCTGCTGCGGCTGTACACGTCCGGTCCCATGATGGTTGCGGCCTGCAAAAAATTAACCCGACAGTCTGAGGATGATAAGGGCATTTACGTCTTTTACACAGACAAAGATCCCAGTACCAACTTTTTGGATTGGACAAAAAAGTACAAGTTTTTGTTCACTTGACATCTGTCTTGTCCTGGCATGTCATGTCAAACACAGTACAACTTGTTCTGTTTTGTCTTTATCCTGTGTGAAAAATGAATGGGCCGTACCGAAGTTTATGCATTGCGGATACGCCTGTGGTGAGTGAGATGCACGGAAGATCCTCCCCCCATACTAAATCTGCTCGTTCCTGTAAGAATATAAAAGGAACGTCGGACTATTTTAATAATTACCTAAATTACCCTTGAATAAAGGACAAGAAAAATATCGTGATAGCATAAATCAATTGTATAGGTTCTTGGAATTACGATACGAGCAATTTATTATAGAAAGTTTCTAGAAAAGAAAAAAAAACAATTGTATTTTCAATATTTTATCGATTTCGTTGCTAAGACTATTTTCTCTAGCGATTAAAAAACCATTATTTTTTTAACCATTTTTCCAAATTACCTAAAGATAGAATACATAAGGGTACAACATATTTTCACCAATTTATCGATTTAGCCATTCAACTACTATTTTATTATTGATTAAGCCATTGCACTATTATGGGTTTTATGCAGAAAATTCTCGTTATTTTGGGGGAAAACTTTTACATAGCCCTAATTATTTTTTTTGGACAGAAAAGTCCTGATTATTTAACATTTTGCCCAAATTAACAAAAACGTCATTTTTTTATTTTAACAGAAAATGACAGATCATGTGATTTTCCCAAAATAATGGGATTTTTCTGTTCAAAAAAAACATTTGAAACTTTATCAAAAAAATTCCCAAAATAATGGAACTTTTCTGCATAAAACCCGCACTATTATTATCATAATCATAATAAAATAATAGTTTAGTGACCAAATCAAAAGGTTTAACTCAATTATGTATCTTCATTAAAGTTTAATCTTAAGAAAATGCACACAAAGGAAGCATTGCAATTTTCATAGGATTGAAAAAGTATTCAACGAAGTAGAAAAAGGTTTTAAGTAAAATTGGAATAAGATATTTTTTAAGTAAATTAAAATGGGTCCCACAAAAAATCAATTACCTTCAAACGCCTAAACATTGCAGCCGAATTGCTCCATGTACCATCAATCAAGATAAAGTTCATTATTTCACTCGAATTTGTCTGTATAAAAATCGAGCATTTTATCACTTCATGGTTAAATGCAAGAAATAGCAATGTAGTTTTGTTTATTTGTTATAGCATCTTACTTTCATTTCATGCATTATTTACTATTTAGCCCTTCTTTCCCTATAAATGATTATTAAATATGACACACCCTTAATTGAGAATTCTCATTTCTCTTACTTTTCTCTTTTAAGTCGTTCTTAAAAGGAAACACAAACATTATTTCCATTAAGTCTATTAAATAAAAAATAAAAATCTCAAAAAGGATTAAAGTGAAAGCACCGAATGTGGTTCATGAAGAAAACTTGTTGACATATTTCCATTGAAGCTATCTTCAACAGACTTTGTAGGTGCATTCTTATTTGGATAAAGACACCAAACATTATTTCTCCCTGAAAATTTTTGTTTATAAATTATAAGTAAAACATTGAAATTTAAATAGTTGTTATTCTTATTGAAGTGGTAGATTGATAAGTAGAAACCTGAATGCATGAATGCTTTCCACATTATTTCTTCATGTTCAGCTATCCCATATATGCATAATGTAGCTGCATTAATGCCAAATACTTGCCATAATAACTTCCCTGTGTTGTTTTGCCTCAAGAAATCCTACAAAAGTAACAAGATTATCTCAAATTACTAAAAAGAAACAATCAATTTGCAATAAAAAATCGGTGAATAGTGATTAGTGTATTATGTATATACCTTTGGATGCATATATAACCAAAACCGCATCCTATGCCAAAGAGAACAAGGCACAACACTCGAACACATGCAATCTTCAAGAGGAAGCCAACACTGTAATAATTCGATTACAAACTTATTTTTCTAAGAAAATCAAAGATGATATAGAACAATTAAGAGAGACTGAATCGTATGATAAACCTTTTGGCAAAGGTAACCTCTGCTTCCAAGTAAACGACATGCTATTTGTCGAGCTGAAAAGAAATGGAGCTTTTGTTCAGAATCATCTAAAGCCCTGTATTTTGCTCTGTGTTTTTTATCTTCTTGTGTCTTGAAGTCCCCCTGGACATTAGCATAGTTAAACATATCAATTTGCTATAAAATGATTAGATTCGTAATCACTTTTAATCAATTATCCCTCCATCAAGCTTTTGGATATTACATTGTGATGGATAAGATAAGGCGTCGAAATATAAAACACCCATCATTTGGAATTGAACGAAAACTTGATTAAATTGATAATTTGTAATCGATAAAATGGAAATAGGGTTTGAATTCCTGATACCTTGAGTTTACCACCAAGTCCACCAAATTTCATCTGGGCATCGCTTTCTGTCTCTGAAACGATCATTTCCTCGACGATTTCCGCCACTTGTGTGGGTAATGGGGAATCAGTACCCCAGGCCTGCCATTCTTGTAGGCTAATAGTGATGGGTGACGTGGGTCTTGCTTCATTGATGTATCTTCCATGGTCTCCAGATGAAGGAGACGCATCGGCGGAAGAATCAATAGAGAGGGCACCGGAACAGACGGTGGTTGAGGGTGGCGCAGCCATGTAGGTGGTGGTGCGTAGAAAGGTGTATTTTGAGCATTTGAGTATGTTGAAGACCCTAAAGCTTGTAGCAGCAGAGGTGAACATGGTTTTGCTTTACTAGTTATTATTGGGTTTAAAGATTTGATTACTAGACTATCAAAAGACCCAAGGCCCAGCTAAGACACCCATATTGTTTACAATCTCAAGTTCTCAACCCATGACATCATCATGGCCTCATCATGGGTGAGCAAAGAGGGTTTTTAATCCGGCTTGGAAATGGGTTAAATTTTTTAGTAAATTACACGAATGGTCCCTATGGTTTAGGGTAATTTGCGCGTCTCGTCTCTAACTTATTTTTTTAACTCGGAAGGTCCCTACTGTTTGTTTTAGTTACGCGCTTGGTCCCTGTCTTACCTAAAAAGACTATTTTTCCCTTGATTTTTTAATTTATTTAAATAAACATACCCCAACCTCACCTCCCTCATCTTACCTTACCTATCACATCATTTTTCACTATTTAAATAATAGTCTTTTTATGTAAGACAGGGACCAAACGCGTAACAAAGACAAACATTAGGGACCATGCGTGTAACAAAAACAAATAGTAGGGACCTTCCGAGTTAAAAAAATAAGTTAGGGACCAAGCGTGCAAATTATCCCAAACCATAGGGACCATTCGTGTAATTTACTCTAAATTTTTATTTGGAGCTAATGCTATAAAAACTCATAAGTTTTTAATATTTTGTTGTTTTGTCTAAAGTTGGATTTTATGTGCTAATTTGTTCGTTTTTAGCCTCTAGCTGGTTTTTTCCTTTAGAAGTCGGTAACCCTTACTTGATTGGACGAAGGTGTTTAGTGGGTTGCCAAATTAGTATAGATGACGTGTGTCTTCAGGAGAAAAAGGGGAATAGAACGGGGGCATGGGGGTATTGAAACTTGGGTCTCCTAGTGGAAGCTTTAACTACAAAACTAGTAATTTTGTGTATTCACTTCAAACTTAATCTATTTAACGTGTATCTTTTTGGAACTTTTAAATAATAAGTATTATTATTATTATTATTATTATTATTATTATTGTTATTATGAACTTATACATACATTATTAAATATGTTTTTTAATGTGTAAATATATTTTTAAAGGTAAAAAATATGTTTTAAAGGTATAAACATATTTTTAAAGGTATTTATATATTTAGAAAACGAATTTATATATTTAAAATGTATGTAAACATTTAACAACATATTTATACATTTGAAAGCGTATGTATACTTTCAAAATATATATTTAAACGTATAAAACAGTTTATACATATAAACATGCCTCGAGACATTTTATACGTATTTAAACATATAAAAATATTTTTATACATATAAAAATATATCAAGACGTTTTATTCATATTCATATGGATACATTATGTATAAAGACGTTTTTAGCAAATTCATATGTATATATTATGTATAAAGACGTTTTTAGCAAATTTATATGTATAAAAATATATAAAAAAAACAAATATTTATATGTTTATATGCATAAACATATAAATATTTATATGGTACGTATGTATAAATACATTTTTATATGTTTAAAAACATATAAATATCATTTTAATACATATATAAACTTATAGATATGTTTTTTATAAATAAAAAAACGCATCATTAAATTTGTATATGTAATTTTATGTATACATTATGTATAAAGACGATTTTTGCTTATTTATATGTATAAATACATATAAATAGTGTATTTAAACGTATTTAGTATGTGTATATGTATTTATTTCATATAAAACATATTGTATACTTAAAAATATGAAACTACTATATAAATACATTCAAAAATATCTCTATATATTTATATATGTAAAAAAATGTTTTTATACATATAAATAACGCTTTTTTGCTTATAAATAACGTTGTTATACATATTTAGATGCATAAAAACGTTTTTCATACACATAAAAATACATCAATATGTTTTTATAAAAAAATACATATATACCTAATAAATATGTTAAAATACATTTTTATGCGATATATATATATATATATATATATATATATATATGTTTTTAAAAATAAAATATTTCGATTTTCAATATATAAACACGCCCGAAAAATTGTAATGATAATAATAATAATAGTAGTAGTAATAATAATAATAATAATAACAACAACAAAAAAAAAATATTAATAATAATAATGATAGCAACAACAACAACAACAACAACAATAATAATAATAATAATAATAATAATAATAATAATATTAGTAATAATAATTGTTCCAGCATAACACATTATGTATATTAAGTTAGGAAATAAAACATAAGAATGCTTCTAGCTTGCTGATTGAAGTTGTTGCCAACAGTATAGGAGGATCGGGTTCAAATCCTCATTGTCTCCATTTCGTTCAGAATTTTCATTTTCATTTGAAGGCAACAACGCACATCAGCTCCTACTCAGCATCTTCCCTCCAATCAGCTATGGGTTCAAATCCTCATTGTCTCCATTTCATTCAGAATTTTCATTTTCATTTGAAGGCAACAACGCACATCAGCTCCTACTCAGCATCTTCCCTCCAATCAGCTATGGATTGATCAGAAATAGAAGGTAAAGGGTCAAAACTGAACAATTTTTCTGGTATTTGTGGCATAACGAACATAAAATTTAATTTTGAGTAAAACCGACAAAAAACTGAAAACTTAAGGGTTTTTATGACATTAACCCTTTTTGTTTGTTATCAAAATCGGGTTGGTTTTAAATCGATTTTGGAATAAAAAAAACAAACTTATCTAACCATTATATAACCCACTAGAACCGGTTTTTGAAAATCTGTTTTATTAGATAAACATGCTTTTTTGAGTTATTGAATTTAAAAGAGATGTTGTACTTGGGTGGGCTCTTTGAAATGGAGCATCTTGGTGGTGGTGATATTAATGTCATTAGGCATTGGAAAAATGACTTAAGAGGTTAATCATCTGTTTGGTTTGTTTTCATTTGGTCACTTTTCTTTTTTTTGTATTCAATATACCATTTAATTTGTTGTTTGCGTTCACATTAACCATTGTGACGGCCTATCACCTGTTATTGAAGGTTTCCGGTGTCTTTGTCCTCTCCGGTCACCTTCTCCGGCGAGATTCTGATGAACATGAATATTCCGGCAAGTTAGTAGCAAATGTTCTTCTTTGTCAAATCTGGAAAATCTCTTGAACATTATCACATCATAACCCACACACAATGAAAAATTAAAACTGAAATTGTGTTTGTGTATGAGAATCAAAAGGTGAAATTCTTTTTTAGGGTTTTCGTTTGAACAAGATGGCAAAATCCAAGATCGAAATCAAAAACTAAAATCGTGTTTGTGTCTGAAAACTGAAACGCCTTCCAGATCCAAGATCGAGCTTAACAAATCGTGTTCAGAAAAAGAAAGGGATAACTCGAACACAGAAGATGAACACTTGCTTGTTTTCTAAGATCCAACACACACTTCAACCAACTGTTTGTTTTCTGGACCTTCAAACTTGCGGATGAACACACTATGTGTTCTTGAACATGAACCCAGAAAATTAAACATGAACCCGCTATATGTTCTATGTGTTCTTGAACATGAACCCAAAAATTAAGCATAAACAATCGTTTTCGGAACAAGATGTGTGTGTGTGTGTGTGTAAAATAGAGAATCGTAGGTATTCTCCTTGAATCAATTTGCAGATCTGGAAAATAGAGAAGAAGAAAAATCGAACAGTGGAAGCCCTAATCGATTTGCAGATCTTGAATCAATCTATATGTTTTCTCTTTCTTGAATCGATCTTCATGTCCTCTCCTTCCCCATCCCCCCTCTCCAGAAACAAACAAACACAATAACTTTTGAGTTCCATCGATGAACCTTCAAACGAACACGTTCATCTCTTTCAAAAAAAACGAACACATTTACACACACAAATCGATTTCCACTTGTATTAGATCTGTTTTGGAGATATGAAGAGGTTCCCATCATATTTGGGTTTCTCGGATCCGGCACACCGGCACACACACATCTTTGTTTTCCTTATTCGATTTCAGACCAAGAACTCGCCGGAATATTCATGGTCATCGGAATCTCGCCAGAGAAGGTGACGGAGAGTCGCCAGAGAGGACAAAGACATCGGAAACCTTCAATAACAGGTGATAGCCAGTCACAATGGTTAATGTGAACGCAAACAACAAATTAAATGGTATATTTAATACAAAAAAGTGACCAAATGAAAACAAACCAAACAAATGATTACCCTCTTAAATCATTTTCCCTTAGGCATTTTGTGTAATTGAAATTAATATGTGAGTTAAGGGAATTATGATTTATACTTTATATTATATGTTTAGCGTGTGCGGATGTAGTGTGCATACATATATAAGGTTAGGGGTGTTCAAAACCGGATTTCCAAAAATTCGGATAATGGTTTTTTGGTATCTGAATCTATATCCGATAATTCGGATATCTGAATTTTCGGATACGGATTCGGATACTAAAATTGGATATCCGAAGCTATTAGATTTTTATTATTATCATATATCAATCCATCCGATTATAAAACAATTGCTAATCATTGTGTATTAATCGTCAATAAGGTGTAGCTAAAATTAATTAAATTATAAATCATTGTCAATTTAGAACACGCAAAGGCGATGAGCTGGTAATTTTAAACGTTAAAAGATGGAGAAAAAAACATCATAAATGGTCCCTGTGGTTTCTCCAGATATGAAGTTTAGTCCCTAGGTTTCAAAATTTTCATAGATGGTCTTTGTGCTTTCAAAACTTTTGACGATTGGTCCTTAACCCTTACACCGTCAGAACCCAACCGTTAAGTCTTATTTTATTAAAATAATAGAATGGCAAGTTGGTCTTTTCACTTGTACCCTTCTCTTTATAACCAAATGCATGTCTGACCATTTAGAAAACCCTCCTCCCACCCTCATCTACTCTCACTCTACTGTGCGTCCATTTGGAAAACTCTTTTGAAAGTGTCGAAGATGGCGATTTATACATGTGGAATCAAAACAATGAAGGTGGCCTCGTGGACGGATCGTAACCCTGTAAGGAAATTTTGGAATTGTTCAAGAT